CCATGCCGCAATCCCTTCTCCTTTCTCCTCTCAGGATCTTGGGCACGCACGCACACGTGCCCAGCATGAGTTTAAGCCACTGGATTCGAACTGCGGTCGGCTACATGGGAGTTCAGCAACACAGCCATTTATGCTAACTGCTGGTCCCAGGAAATATGCTTTGGAAACAGGGTAAATAAAGTGGCAAAGGCCTAGTTGCTCTTTAATGTCTCTTTATTTGGTTTATTTTTTAGATTTTTTGCCATAGGGTACATGTGCTCACCAGAGAGACAGAGAGAATGAGAGAGGGGAAGTTAGAAATCACTCCCCAGGGAAGATAGCCACACTGCAATCTCGTCTCCTCCATTCTCCTCTTTAGGATTTTGGGCATGCATGTACAAGTGCCTGGTATGTTTTCCAGGCCACCAGGTCTGGAACTCGAACCATAGAGTTAGCCATGCTTGATCTAGTGCCTTAACCACCATGCCACCTGCTGGCCCTCAATGTAAAAAGAAAAAAAGAGATATTTTAACTGATCACACTGTTTCTATGAAAACTTCTACCCAACTATAAACAGCCAATTTCTTCAGCACCAATTGTGAAAACTGCCTTATGACTTAGACACCCAAAAAATTAGATTACAAAGTTTCTAAAAATAACAAAAGGACCAAAAATAAGACTCACGACTTCTACCCCACTCCAGTTATACGTGCCAATACTATGAGTTTCTTAAAATTAAAGTTACTTAGTGGAGTATAATTCCATAACTAAGCACCTTTCCAAAGCCAGGCTGGTAATAAAAGAACAGTTAAAGGACAAGGTCATTAATGATGGAAAGGAGCAAGGCAGGAAGCCCAAGGGCACAAGAGAAGTAAAACAAACCTTTTCTTTGCCTTCCTCGAAGTTCATCCACCGTGAGATAGGGGGGTGGGTCCTCCTCTTCTGGAGAAGACACCTTCTCTTGAGGAGCTGAAGCACTTCTTAAAAAGTGTTGAAAAGTTGGTCCAGTGGCCAGCCTGGAGCTGAAATCCTTTGGAACTCCACTCTGCTGCCTCTCTGGACCAGGACATGAGGTGCTAGGGAAACTGCTGCATGCCCTGCAGGTCCTGAGCAGCAGCCAGGACACAGAGGCCAATGGCTCCCACCTCAGCGACCTCTGCACTCGGAGAACACATTGTAAAGGATGCATAGCACTAAAAAGCCTGCAAAGAACGAGACACACATCACCAACATTTATTGAACACAATGAATAAGGCACTGCTCTGAGCACTTCACATGTATCACAGGTTAAATAGCTGTAATCCAAAAATCTGAAATAGGGCTAGCAGATGGAGCAGAGGTTAAGGCACCTGGATCCCACATGGCTGACTCCAGATTCAAGTCTTGAACACGGGAGCTTGAAAATCACACTGGGTACAAGTGCACGTGTGCCCAAAATCTCAAGAGAAGAAGGAAGAAGAGATTGTGCCATGGCCATCCTTCTTGGGGGGGGGGGGGTTGCTCTTTTTTACTCTA